CTGTCAACTGAAACCCCCCCCCCCCCCCATACTTAGTGGCCCCTGCTGGGCATTCCTGTATTGAAAGAGTAAAAACCGGAAGACAGAGCCAAAGCTTGGTTTTTAGTAGTCTCAGCAGAAAAGGCCAACAGTTAGTTGGAAAAAGGACAAAGGGTAGATAAGCAGCTCATAGTAATCAAAGCTGTAGGGTTTTTTCCCCCTTCCAGACTTTATGGACACAAGCTTGCCATACATATAATCATGCATGCAAAGCATGTATGCTTGTCCGGGCTTGTGCATTTTGGGCAGGTGCTTTGCCTCAGAGCCACATCCTCTGTAGATGGTACTAGCATGTAAAGGTGCTTAACTACCAGGGCAGAAGATCCAGCCTTTTCTTTTGTCATTTTGACATAGAGGCCAAAGTAGCACAGGATGAGCTTGAAGTCCTTACCCAGGTTTCCCCTCTGGAGTGGATGAGGCCTGTGTGCCTCTATCACTTCATTTTTGGCAGTACTAGAGATTGAACCCAGGCCCTCTGGTATGCCAGAATAGCCCTCTACTCACTGAGTGACACATGAAAAAAGATGGAGTAGGGACAGAATTGTTTCTGAAGCTGATAGTAAGGTCAAAATGAAAAGAAGTTCCACCTCTGGCTGTTGAGCTAAAATAGTGTTTGGGTAGAACCCAGAGCCTTGAATATTTAGCCAAAACAACCTTCTAGTCAAGTACTCTGCCACCAGGGCAGTGACACCCCCCCCTCCCCCAGTTCAGAATCATTGTTTATATATTCATATTTATATATTTGATAGCCTGTTCTTCAGATCCCGTTTCTTTCCCTCAGTGCTGGTCATGAATTGCTAGGAACTGAACCCAGGGCTTTGTTCAAGCATCTGCCATCCAAACTCCATCTTCATCCCAAAGTCTTGAATATCTGCCATAGTCAAGCAAGTAGCTGGGATTATAGGTCTGTACCGCTAGTCCCTGCTGTGATGGAGAAGTTCTACAATCTAACCAAAAACTTTCTTCCTTAGCAGTGCACCTGCCTCAGGCTGCCACCCTACTGTCTCTTGGGGCCACCCTCCCCAACTCGGAAAGTTCGTTCTTGGGGTGCTGCTGTCTTCAGGGGACCTTCAGCAGTGTCCTTTTTTGAGTGTGTGGGGGGGAGGAGATGGTCTCACTGCACCTCTGGCTGCTGCTAGGATCATGCTTAGCTTCCAGCAGTGTCTTTTTTTTTTTTTTTTTTTTTGGTTTTTTTCGAGACAGGGTTTCTCTGTGTAGCTTTGCACCTTTCCTGGATCTCGCGCTGTAGACCAGGCTGGCCTCGAACTCACAGAGATCCGCCTGGCTCTGCCTCCCGAGTGCTGGGATTAAAGGCGTGCGCCACCACCGCCCGGCTCCAGCAGTGTCTTAAATGGCCACAATTTGGATATGTGGGTGCTTTGGTTGGTACCCGAAGAGTAGAGGTCAGATACCCACTAAACCTAAAAGTACGAGGAACAGCAAGACACCTGATCCACATCCACAGAGAGGCTAAGGACGGGAGGAAAGGGCGTGAATATCTTGACTCATTTGTTAGATATTTCTCAGGAGACCCTTGTTTTGGCTTATTTTTGGTGGTTCCAGGCAAATGTTCTTCCAGCAAGTTGGATACCTCCAATAGGAATATGACAGGTACCAAGAGAAATTGTTAGATTAGGAAAATGATTAATTTTGAGATAAGATCTCACCATCTAATACTGGCTGGTTTAGATCTGCAGCCTCTGCCTCCCCAGTACTGGAGTTAAAGGTGTGTCCCACTATGCCTGCTTTTTAAAAAACTTGGCTGACTTGTAATTCACAAGTGTTTACAGTATGATTTGGTTGTGCTGTCCTAGTAGAAATATTCGCCAGCAGGAAGAAAAATCTCTCTTGGTCATCTCTCCATCACTATTTTTTGAGGCAGACTCTCACTATCTAGCCTTGGATAGCTTAGAACTTGTTATGTAGACCAGGCTGACTTAAAAACTCAGAGATCCTGCCCAGTTGTAGTGGTGCACGTCTTTAATCTCAGCGCTAGAGGGGTAGGGGCAGGGGCAGGTGGATCTCTATGAGTTCGAGGACAGCCTGGTCTACAGTGAGTTTCCAGGACAGCCAGGGCTACACAGAGAAAACCTGTCTCAAAAAAAAAAAAAACAAAAAAACAAAAAAAAAAACCCCAAAACCAAAAACAGAACAGAACATAACAAACAAACCCCAAGAGATCCCCAGAGGGAGGTTAAAGGTGTGCACCACCACACACCCCAACTACAGTTTACGTTTTTGGTAGGGCAAATGTACCTTTGAGTTTTTGTTTGCTAGTACTGATGTTTGTTTAGAATTGGAAGGTAGTTTTAAAGTTAAGTGTTGGCAGGCAGTGGTGGCAAACACCTTTAGTTCTAGCACACAACAGGCAGAGGCAGACAGTTTGAGGCCAGCCTGGTCTGCAGATCGATTTCCAGTACAGCCAGGGCTACACAGAGAAACCGTGACTTGAAAAACCAAAACCAAAACCAAACCAAAAGATGTTTTTTCCATTTGTTTGTTTTCTGAGACAGGGTCACCACATGTGTCTCCGGTTGGCCACAAACCTATGTTTCAGACCATGCCCTAAATCCCTGATCCTCCTACCACACCTGACTTGCTGTAAGTTGGGAGAGCTCTTAAACTTTCTTCGGTGATGTGCTCTGGCTTCTTTTTGTAACTCCTTCCTGCTCTTAACTGACACTAGTCAGTACAATTAGTGATTGTTCTCTTAATTTCACAGTTGACTTAGAGTCCCTTGTGGCTGGTATTGCTTAGTACATTACACTTGGGAGTCTCTGTCTTCATTGAGAAGAGGGTGGTGTAGAGGCTCCAGCAGGAGTAAGGGTTGCAGACCATGCAGAAGAGAGGGGAGCTGGAGATGTTTGGAAGAATGATAGGTATTACTTGTGAATAATTTCTTTGCTTATATGGTGGGTGTAACAACATGGGTGAGTTAATCAAGGTAGTTTGCTAAAGAAAGACATGCTGTGCGGTGTGGAGAGGCTCAAGAGTTAAGTCTTCTTGCTCTATTTGAGACAACCTGCTCAGCGTCCAAGTGGCTATTTTGCACAGTCATGTGCCTGTTTACTGGGGTTAGGCTTCCATTTGGGACTGAGGGTGTTCTGTAAGGAGAGAAAGATGGTGAGAGGAGACTTTGAACTCCCTTCAGTGAGGAAGTTGGCAGACCTGAGAAGACAGGAAAGAGATTTGGAAGTCAGGAGAGCTCTCAAATTACGAGTGGTACTGGGAGGCTTAGGTTCTGAGTTCCTGAGCTTACAGGGTGATTTCAAATGATAGGTAGAAGTGGAAATAAGTGAATTAAGGCTGTGGAGAAATAGTTAACTGGCATTGACCATTTCAAGGGATTTGGTGGTTGACAAATTGGCTACTCTAGCACAGTGTCAGAGTTTTCCAGATTGTTTTAACTCAAGGGGTACTCTTTATTTAAGATGAACAGCATTTGTTGGGCAATGGTGGTGTACGGGTTTAGTCCTAGCACTTAGGCAGAGGCAGGGGGATCTCTGAGATGGAGGCCGACCTCCAAAAGCTACACAGAGAAACCCTGTCTCAGCGTCCCCCTCCCCCCCAAATGCTTCTTCAAATCCTTTGCAGCTACAACTCTGGATCGCTTAATGAGGTAGGGAGGAAGAGGTGTTGGTTTTTGTGCTCCTTTTGCTTACTCATGAGCCCTTTTGGTTTCTGGTAGACAGTTGTGCGGTTGAGTTGTGTGGGAGTTGATTGCCGCTTCAGCCACCAAGTTTGGTTGGTTTGGCAGGACCAGCTGAACTTACTCTGCTCGGTATCCTTATGTCTGTGTCAGTGTAACTTCTGGTGGGAAGGAAGGAAGCCTTTTATAATTGGATGCTCACTCCTCTGTCTTGTAATTTACTGGATTTAATACCCATCCCCAACCCCACCCTCCACTCTTGCTTTTCTGAGACAAGGTCACTTTGCAGCCCTGGCTATCCTGGAACACACTGTGTACACTAGACTGGTCTGGAACTCAAAGAAAGAGATCTGCCTCCCAAGAGCTGGGATCAAAAAACCTGCACATTGACACCAGGTCTACTTAATCTTTTGTGAACATTTCCTTAAATATTACCACCCACAAGCATCCTTGTTTCTCTTTCTGAGATATCCCACACCTTTCACCTCTTAGGGCATCTGTACTTGTGCATTCCCTCACATTACACACAAATATTTTTGCAACAGCTTTTAATTTATATATATATATGTGTGTGTACATATATATATAAATATAAATATAATTTTGTTTTGTTTTTCGAGACAGGGTTTCTCTGTGTAGCTTTGCGTCTTCCCTGGATCTCGCTCTGTAGACCAGGCTGGCCTTGAACTCACAAAGATCCACCTGCCTCTGCCTCCCGAGTGCTGAGATTAAAGGCGTGCGCCACCACTGCTCGGCTTCTGTATAGATTTTTGAGAATGATACCCCCCCCCCAAAAAAAAAAAAAAAAACCAAAAAACCCAAAACAAAAAAAACCAACAAGCTTTCTCTATGTATCCCTGTCCTGGAATTTGCTCTGTAGACCAGGCTGGCATCAAACTGAGCTGTTTTACTGCCTTTGCCTTCCAAGTGCTAGGATTAAAGGTGTGCGTCACTAGCCAGCTGGGAATGATCCTCCCCCCTCCCGTCTCTGTTTAACAGCCTTGGCTGTGCTGGAACTCACCTTGTAGACTAGACTGGCCTCAGACTCACAAGAGAGTCACCTGCTTCTGCCATCTGAGTGCTGGCTGGGCTTAAAGGTGTGAGCCACCATCGCCCAGCTGGGAATGATTCTTGAACACAGTTTCTGGACAAGGTCCTACCCTACACATACAGGCTATTGACTGGCTACCAGAAGTTCTTTCTGGGCCAGTAGGTGCTGAGAAGGAACCACCTCTCACCTGTTATCACACCTTTCCCTGTGATTGGGCAGTGTTATGGACTGAAATCACTTATTTATTTATTTTATTTGCAGGATTTGTTCCAACAATCTGTTAAAACATGGTGGATTACTATGAAGTTCTGGGCGTGCAGAGACATGCCTCACCCGAGGACATTAAAAAGGCGTAAGTGATTTTATTTCTGAAATGATACTCTGTACCATGGTTCATTAGTAATTGGATAATGTAACTTGTGTCACCTATTAAACCTTTGCTTTTGTTTTCCTTTTTAAAAATTAGATTTATTTTCTGTGTGAATGTTTTTTTTTTTTTTTTAAACGTGGATGGTTCTTAGGTTGACCTCACATGCGTGCACACACATGTGGGTGAGAAAGGAAAACTTGATAACTTAGACTGTTAAAATAAGAACATAAGAACATTTGCCTTTGTGTGGTAGAGGCCTTGGGTTCCATCCCCAGTTCCTGGTACTATCTATATTTACTTGGTGATACTTTATTATGTGTGCCCCCCCTTCAAACCCAGGCCTGTTGTTTCTACTGAACTATATATCTGTACCTCTTCATGATTTATTTATTTATTAATTATGTATGCAGTATTCTGTCTGCATGTATACCTGCAGGCCAGAAGAGGGTGCCAGATCTCATTACAGATGGTTGTGAGCCACCGTGTGGTTGCTGGGATTGAACTCAGGACCTCTGGAAGAACAGTCAGTGCTCTTAACCGCTGAACCATCTCTCCAGCCCATTTTTTTTTTTCCTCTTCATGATTTTTAAAAAAGCTGGTATATTACTAGTTGAGTCTTGGTGTTCTAGTTTATTTCTGTTGTTGTGATGAAATGTCCTGAAACAAACAGTAGAAAGGGGTTTGTTTCAGGATATAAGTCCCAGTCCAGCTGTGCGGCAGCGGAGGTGGTGGTGGTGGTGGTGGTGGTGGTGGTGGTGGTGCAGCACGCCTTTAATCTCAGTACTTGGGAGGTCGAGACAGGTGGGTCTCTGTAAGTTCGAGGCCAGTCAAGTCAAGAGAGACCCTGTCTTGAAAATAAACACACACACACACACACACACACACACAAAACAAGCAAACAAACCAACAAAAAACCCCAAAAAAGTCAGAGTACATGATTGTGGGGAAGTCATGGCAGGATCCATAGTTAAGATTAAGATAGATGGATGCATAGATGGCTGTGTTCTTGCCTGTACTTAGCTTGATTTCTCTGCAGTTTAGGACTCCTGCCTATGGAATGATGCTGTTCGATGAACTATTGCCTTTCCTAGTCAAGAGGTTTCTCCTCTCCTGTTCAAATCTAATTTTTATCAATCTTGATGGTATCCATAGCTTTTCTCCGTGGAAACAAGCAAAACCTCTTCCCCAACGTAACACACATCCTGGTTTCCAATGTGAGATCAGCACATCTTTAAAATAGGCAGGCTGATTTAATTCAGGTTTTTTCTACTAACCAATGTCTCTCCGCAGCTGTCCTTTCTCATTAGCATTTTAAGATTTTAAAGTTAATAAAGCACCGTGGAATCTATCTCTGGGAGGTCTTCATTACTCCTTTCTGTTTATTAAGCATATCTTCTAAGTGCGATTAGATCTTTCTATAACTGCTTATCCTGTAGCATTGTGTGGTATACCTGTAATATGCTTTATGTTGTAATATGTAAAAACCTTTCATTTTACTAGAGACATGCTGAAGCACTGTCAGTCTTAATTTGTGCAGGTACACTCATTATGGCCATAACTTCTAATAAATGTGCAATTACAGAATCAGCCTTTTCAGAACTTAAAGCAGTTGCCCATTGAAATCCTGAATATATATCTATGGTATGGCACACATACTTTAATTTTCCAAATTCTGCAAATGAAACACATCCATTTTCTAAATTTTATTTCTTTGAGTACCCTTTGGATTACTTCCTGCAGGTAATAGAGTTTGGTTTTATGAAGAACAAGTAGGACATTTCCTTTATAATTCCTTTGCTTGTTGCCAAGTAATAGAAAAATCTTTCTTCGAACCTATGGTGTTTTTTATGAAATTCTGAGGCTTTTAGCTCATTTCCTACCAATAGCTGATCAATTCCATCATTACTGTGTGCTAAAGGGCCATGTAGACCTATATCAGATCTGTTATATGTTATATACAATGAATGATTTCTGTTTCTGATTAGTTGTTGTAGTTGAATAAATAACCAAGTGATTTCTGAATCATCTGGAATGTTCAGTGGTTTCAATATGTAAACAGCTCTGCATATTGAAAGTCAGTAACTATGAGGTTCTGGAAAATTTAATAATACTATGAGAATAGCATATAATTCTGACTTTTGAACAGAATCACACATAGGGCTTTGAGTCACTTATTTTTCACTGACTTATAACCTGCCTTTCCTGATTTATTTGCATCAGTATAGAATGTAGGGGCTCCAAAATTGGTGTTTCCCCACACAATGTGAGGGAGGATCCAATTAGTTCTTCTTATAAACTGAAGTCTCTTGCTTGTGGGTTATTTGTTGCTAATTTCTCCCAAGAAATTATTGCAAGCGCTTTGCCAGTGTTCATTTTCTGCCTATAATGAAGAAATTTTAGCATTATTAAAAGGTACCACAATTTTTGCTGGGTCTATTCCTGCAAATTGATGATGTCCCAGTTTTCCTTTCAGAATCAATTCATAAACCTTTTCTATATAAATCTTTAGTCATTTACTCTGTGTGGCAGAAATATCCATTCTAAAATATTACTTCTCTCTGCATAAGAATTCCTGTGGGAGAATGTGTAGAAGGTAAAATAAACCAGAATACAATCAAGCTCTGGATCCTAGTGATCCATATGTCCATCATTTAATTTCTTTTCTACCAGAGCCAATTCTCTGTCAGCCTTAGCTGATAATTTTCTTGGACTATTTAAGTCCTTACCATCTTGCAAGGTTTGAAATAAATTACTTAGTTCTTGAATTGTTAATCCAGTTGTGGGCCATAGACAATTAATATCTCCCAGCAATTTTTGAAAATCATTAAGAGTGCTAAGATAGTGTTAATTTCACCTAATGGTGTAAGCCATTTTCTTGCTTAAGGGTAGGTAGTTTGTGGTTTTTTTTTTTTCTTCCCTCCCTCCCTCCATCCCTCCGTCCCTCCCTTTCTTTTTTCTTTTCTCTTTTTTGAGATATGGTCTCACTGTGTATAGCCTTGGCTAGGTTGGAACTCACTATGTAGATTAGGTTGTTCTCAAGGCACAAACCTTTCTGTGCCTGCTGGGATTAATGGTGTGCACTACCACACCCAGCTCCTTATATCAGTTATTAAAGTTATGTGGACTTCATATGTGCTCAGTATACACTCATTTCATCTTTCAAGGTATCGGAAACAGGCACTGAAATGGCATCCGGACAAAAATCCTGAAAATAAAGAAGAAGCAGAGCGGAAATTCAAACAAGTAGCTGAGGCATATGAGGTGTTATCGGATGGTAAGTCCATCTGAGCTTGTGAAGGGCAGGTCTTTCCAGAGATAGCAGAAGACAAAGGATTTGTTTGCCCCCCTTCCCAAAAGGGTTCATTTTCTTGTGGACGTTGCTTCTGGTACAGCTAACTACCAGTGCTGAGGAGCTATAGGCTATGGGGAGGTTTTCCTGGCTGGAGTTGAGGGAGAGTTGGGTTTAAGAACTTTTGTGTCCACTCCTGATCATCTTGACCTTATCTCCATTGTTCTACTGCAGCAGGACCTTATTAGTGGGATACGAAAGGGGTTGAACATTGTGCTCCAATTTAGACTTTGATTCCCTACTTTGGATCTAGAGCATAGGCATTAGGTGCCTTTGTGAAGATGGGCTGTATTTTGCAATTAGGTGAAGGATTAGCTGTCAGCTAGGGGCAGCCATCAAGTTTGAGTTTGTGGCAAAGGAAAGATTTGTATCTGTAGGGCTGGGGACAGTGCCAGAGACTGGAAAAGTCCTGTCCACATCCTAAGCGCTAGCCTGTTGGGTGACTTGGCATGAGTCAAGGCAGAGGGTTGACTTCAAAAGGTTCTGTACTGATTCACTGACCACAGAAAATAACAAATAGGTTCTTATCATTAAGAATCCGTTTCTAGAATGAACCTGAGATAAAACTCACTGAGCCAGCTTATTGGCATGCAACTCCTTGCATTGTCTATGCTCTGACGTGTCCCCTTCTCCCTACTTTTAAAGGCAGATCTGGAAACTTTACTTCACAAGTATCTTTTTTTTTTTTTAAACTTATGAAAACACTGATAACTGAAATCCTACAAATGTGACAGTGTCTTCACACTGTTGGGACTTTTGAGCTCTAGTAAGCTCACTGCTTACAAGGGCTCTTCTTACTCAAAATGGGGTTCTTCGTTATTTTGTTTCCCCAGTTGTAGAAGATGAGCTTTTTGGGGAGAACAGAATGATGTATATAAGTGGCAGCTGTTCTTTTCTGCCCTAGTCCAGAATGCAGAGGCAGCAGGGACTGTAGGTACCAGCACAGCACCTGTGAGTCCCGTGTGCTATGCACACAGGCAGTCTCCTTCCTTCTATGGAATGTGCTTAGCCGCTTTCCACTCTACCCTTAACGGCCCCTGGACGCTGTAGTAGGTAATCTCCAAGCATTTGTAGCACTTAAAAGTAGGTTTTCAACTGGTCTTTTGAGAGAGAGAGTCAACTGCCTCTTTTTTAAAGTCAGGGTCTCCTAACTTTGGACCTAGATTTAAAACTTGGGAAAATACTGATTGAATTTGGAGGATTTGAAAGAACTTGCCCATAATAATTGTTTTTCTCAAATTTAAAGCAAAAAAGCGGGACATCTATGACAAATACGGCAAAGAAGGATTAAATGGTGGTGGAGGAGGAGGTATGTCAATGTATTTTCTCTTTGGAGACACAGGTCTTGACAAGTCATCCATATTTGTTGAGTTCATATGATTTATACCCGATAGTCAATACAGAGTAGCCTAGAAAGTGGTAAATTTAGGTAGACATGGAGGAATGCTTATAATCTTATCACCTAGGGAGGCTGAGTGAGGCAGGATAGTGCCTGTGAATTGAGAGCCTGCCTGGTGGGTGTCAGGTCACTTTGTATGATTATAGTTCTTGTGACAGGTCTTGCCTCCTTAAAGGAATAAAAAAAAAAAAAAAAAAAAAAAGAACCAAAAGAGACTTGACTCTGAGAGTGGAGGGCCAGCCTGCTTCATTTACATAGACCAGTCAAGTTAGGATGTTTATGTCGAGCTATATAGTATGATAGATAACCTTACTGTGTTTTTGGCAGTGAACCTATTCAGGTTTAAACAGCACACACTGCCTTGCCTGTTTCATGAAAGTGGTGTTCAATAAATTGAGTTCCTTCATCGTGGTCCTTAGAATTCTTGCTGTTACCTAATTGTGAGCATGTTGTACTTATGGAGAAATTGATGAAATATGTTACCAGCTTCCATAGGCCTTTATTATAACTAGTGACAAAAACAGTGGGCAATGATTTAAATCACATGTTTTGGAGATGGAAATCTGTAGACAGTGCTAGACAAGTGCAGTTAGCATCAATAAGGCCTCTGGTTTCTAGAATCCCAGATGTGTGGAATATGTTCTCTCTTTTAGACCTTGAAGCATGTAATGTTTTATGAACAAACATTGTTTAGAAACGCCAGAATTCGTAGGCTAAACACTTTACTGTGCTTGTATAGGTGGAAGTCATTTTGACAGTCCGTTTGAGTTTGGCTTCACATTCCGGAATCCAGATGATGTCTTCAGGGAATTTTTTGGTGGAAGGGACCCATTTTCATTTGACCTCTTTGGTAAGTAACTGCTTGGTCCATTCTTTTGTCTGGTCTGGTGAGGGCTTGTGGTGCCCTTTGCATTTAACACTGTGCCATGTTACTAACCTTTTATCTTTACAGACCAGTGGAATCATCAGATATTTTCTGCCAGGCTTTTCAGACCTTTTGAATTTGTGACTTCAACAATAAAAGAGTTTAGTGTATTCTTCCTCTCTTCTGTGTGTATTGTTCTATCCTAGTAAATTTGTCTTTGCCCTCCAGTGAACCATGGTTGGGACAGGATAGGATGTTGGAAATCTGTTCTTAAATGTTTTATCTTTTTTAAGAAGTATTGCCGGGCGGTGGTGGCGCACGCCTTTAATCCCAGCACTCGGGAGGCAGAGCCAGGCGGATCTCTGTGAGTTCGAGGCCAGCCTGGACTACCAAGTGAGTTCCAGGAAAGGCGCAAAGCTACACAGAGAAACCCTGTCTTGAAAAACCAAAAAAAAAAAAAAAAAAAAAAAAAAAAAAAGAAGTATTATTTCTTGCTTTGGTGCTGAGGATTTGAACCCAGGACCTTGGATATACTGTCATTTTTAGCACTGACCTACCACCACTCTACAAGTTAGTTTATGTATTACTTTGTGAGTTTGTGAAATTCACTAAGCATCATAGATAAATAAATCTTAACAGCAACAAAACTTAAACATACAGGTTCCATAAACACACCCTTTTCTAACTGTAGTCCACTTAAAGTGTTGTGAAGAGAGGGTGCGTCTAGAGCCAGGCAGCAGGAATCAGGAGTGTGACCAGCTGTTGAATGGTGGGAAATAGATTCTCCCATCTCCTGCCTTTGGTTTGATGCCTGACCCTGGACTCTTAGGGGCTTGTGCACAGGAGCCTTTCCATACCTTTGTTGGTGTCGGTTACTAGAGATGTTCCATATTGCCGAGACGTATTTGAGTGTTTGACATGGGAGGTCAGGGTCGAACGTGCTGTTGCTGCCTCTTTTTGTCTGGGTGCACTGAAAGGGAAACACATCTTGTGTGGCTGAAGAGACTCCAACACCACCAGCAACTCCCCAAGAGGAAAAAAGACAGTTGTGTCTACCAGTAATACCAGAGGGAGACAGGTGGGAGCCCCGCATGTCTTGATGTTATGGGTGTGAAGAGGAACAAGTCACCCTGGATCTGGTCTGGTAGGTCTTAGACTTTTCATGGTGTGGGTGTGATCCTGTAGTTGATCTCAGTGTGTGTGTGTGTGTGTGTGTGTGTGTGTGTGTGTGTGTGTGTGTGAGAGAGAGAGAGAGAGAGAGAGAGAGAGAGAGAGAGAGAGAGAGAGAGAGACTTATCCTTTATCCTGCCTTCCTGAGGGAAGGAAAACTGAATGTTGTTGCTAGTAAGGGTTGGGATGGACTGTGGTTTGACACTGAGACCTGCTTGTTTTTTGGTGTGCCCCTCCCCACCATGTTTCTCTGTGCAGCTTTGGAGCCTGTCCTGGATCTCACTTCTCTGTAGACCAGGCTGGCCTCAAACTCACAGAGATCTGCCTGCTCTGCCTCCTGAGTATTGGGATTAAAGGCGTGCGCCACCACCGCCCGGCATCCTGCTTGTTTTAATGTTAATGAAAAACATAAAGAAAGTTCCCTATAAACAAATTATTAAGAGCGAGGCCTATGACCCAAAGATTGTGGGACATTTAAAATTACAGATTAAGGAGTAGCTCACTAGCAGTATACAATCCGAATATGGCTCAACAGGTAAAGACACTTGTCAACAAGTCTGAGGACCTGAATTTGGTGCTTGAGCATTTGCACAGGAACCACTAATAAATAAATGTGTGTTTACAAAAATGATAATTTAAAATTTCTATTTCTAGCCTTTATGTACATACTTCAGACAAAGCAGTGAGTGATTTATAATAGGCTTAGAAATGAACATTATTGTATCCATTGTTACCTGAATGTTGAGAAGTGCAGATGTGACTCTAAGAAAACTAGAAACAGGTAGGTGGGATCATGCACAGTTGCAGTACCAGCTCTTGTCCAAGGCAGCCCACCTTGCCTTCCAATACTCTTGTCTCAAGAAGCAAAACAGAACAATAAAAATCACTGCTGGTATTTTTTTCTTCAAAAATAAGCCTTTAGTAAATTCCACCTTGGTTTGTTGTGGGACAGAGTGGTGTTGGACAGAGTCTGTTCTGATGTCCTTTCCGAGTAGAACAGCTTGTGCGGTAATATGATGAAGTAGGCTAACTTCTTCTCTGAGAAGGTCATATATCCGAAGTACTGCTATATCTTCCTGACTAAAGAAAAATTGAAGTCTGTTGTGTAGTGCACATCTTGATAATCCAGAACTTGGGAAACTGAGGCAGAAGGATCATGAGTTTGAGGCCATCAAGGCTACATAGTGAACCTTTTTTTCCCCCCTTTAAATACAGGGTTTTTCTGTAACTGCCCTGGTTGTCCTGGAACTTGCTCTGTAGACCAGGCTAGCCTCCAACTCAGAGAAATGATCCCCTCTGCCTCCCCAGTGCTGAGATTAAAGGTGTGCACCACTACTCCTGGCTACATAGTAAATCTTAACAGCAACAAAACTTAAAACAACTCCAAAATCTCACCTTGGGTGGATGTTGCTCAGTGGTGGATGCTTGCCTAGTGTGTATGAACCCTGGATTGTGTCCCTAACACTGTCACAGAAAAGTGTGTGTGTGTGTGTGTGTTCCCTTTTAGTGAATCACGTGGTCAGTGCTTGTTTTCTTTGAGAAAAAGAATCGGACACACTAGCCTTTGGACAATTCTTTGTATGGGAGGTATATATTAGAGCTTTTAATTAGATAACCTTAAGTTTTTATCAGTAGTGCAAGACTGTACTAGGCTTGTTGAGGTCTGCTCCATCTCAGGTATGGCTCAGGTAGCCATCCCTCCCTGCATTGCCGTGATGAGTGTGGCAGTGATGCTTCTTCAATCCATTCTTGTAGGTCTTCTAGGGGACTTCCATTTTCAGGCAGTAAGGATTTTCGCACAGGAAAAGAAGCTACTCCACGGCTACTACGTGTATGAGGTGACCGTGCAGCCTGCTGGTGGTATGTGGAGTGTAGACTGGGTCCTTCGTGCAGGGCTGGGGGACCTAGTGCATGGTCAGCAGCATCCAGAGCCCTTGTAAACCCAGTCACAGTGTCTATTGATTGTAGCCAGTGAATCTTCAGTTTAAATTTCTACACACCAAATTTATTATTTATTTATTTCTATATTTCTTTTTTGGAGGGGGAGGAGTTTGGTTTTTGAGAGTAGCTCAATTTATTATAAATATCCTGGGTGCAGTATAATGTAGTACACGTGTGTGTTTTAGCTACTGAGAGACTGAGACAGAAGGTTCCTAAGTTTGAGGCTATTCTGCGTTTTATAGACCTAATCCTTATCCCTTTTCTATCTCTTCAAAAGTCATTTTTAAGATTTTATTTTAAACATAGTCCAGGCTTTCCTTGTTTTTCTGGTCAGCCTTCCAAGTGCTGGGATCACACAATATCCTTATGTCCTAGTGTAAGGTATTGTTGAGCTACACTGTGCTCAAAAATTTCAGGTCTCTTACCCTGGTGAATGGGATGGGGTCCTCAGATTCAGAGACCTGGAGCAGGGAGATGCTTTGGGATCCTGTAGGAGCAGAAACACCTTTCCCTGTGATTAGCCACTTTTTCAGAAAAATCCCTGTAGGCACTTTCCACAAGGAGCTTAGCAGTGGAGGGGAATGTATGTGGAATGTTGAGGCCAGCTGGCCTTTACATTTCCCAGAGTATATATCTCACCCACAAATGAGCTTGAAATGCTGATTGAAAACAGGATATGCATTAATTTGAATTAGGATGATCTCTTCATGTGTTTTACTGACCCAGAACAATATTTTACTGTGTCCTGATTATGTAAACGTGGTAGTGTAAGACCGACAAGTACCCAGCAGTGGGCTTTTCATTCTTTCTAGTTAGGGCAGGAAGTATCTCTTAGAGAACTGTGTGGGTTTAATGCCACATTTTAGTTTTGTTCTCACTTTGGAATGCCCAAAACAAACGGCCTTTGACACTGTTGCCAGAGGGTCTCTCCTCTCTCCCACGCAGTATGCTTGTTCTTCACAAAGTCTTGTGAACTCTGGGGAAGGAAGGAGGAGGCCTGGAAAAGGCCCGTGGTGTGGAGAACCTTGGGGGAGGGTGACACTGTGGAGGGTAATTTTTCTGAGCCGTAATTTTAATGTAGTGAGTCAGTCGTTTTACTCCCCAGGATTCGAGGAAGTGGCCAGTGAGGACTTGGAGCCTAGTGAAGATCTAGACCAGCCCTGTTTTGAGGAGTCAGTAGAAGACGCCCTGAGTGACGAGCACAGTGAGGTTTTGGATGTGATATCCAGTGAGGAGCTGGACCTTAGTGAAGATGAGTCAAGTGAAGGCTGTAGCTGGGGCCAGGGCGGACTTCTCAGTGAGGACCTGGACCTCATCTCCAGCGAGGAGGAAGCCAGTCTCGGGGATGCAGAGGAGCTCAGCGAGGAGTATGAGGAGCAGCTACTGAGCGAGGAGGAGCACAGTGGGCCGGAACCCGAGGCGCTGCTTGTTCAACAATAAACAGAAAGGAATGGCCTGGGTCTCTCTTATAAGAAAGTTTATTTTCTTTAAAATTTATCTAGAATAAAAAGAAATTGCTTCTATCACCGCCATGTTGTATGTGGTCAGATTCCCAGAGTTGACCTGGAGACCAGGGAGGGGAGGGGGCCCAGACGCCCCAGGCCAGCCCTCTTTGTAGGATGGCTGGGCTACAGCCCAGGTGAAACTGGGCTGCTGAAACAAAGCACTCAGTCCTAGTGGTTTAAACAACAAACTTCCTCAGTGCTGCAGGTCCAAGGTAAAGGTACGCCAGGGTATGTCCCTGCTAGCTGAAGCAGATGTGCCGTGGGCAGCTCTTCCGTGTCCAGTTTCTCCTGTGACCAGTGCTGACCCCTGGTCCATGAGTTCATTTGATCTGATTACTTCAGGGAGCTCCTAGTAGAAAAGCTCAGATC